ACGAGAGAAGAAGAAGATAGGAGAGACCGAGAGATGAGAGAAGGAAAAAGACCAGAGAGAGAGAAGAGAGAGAGAGAGAGAGAGAAGAGACCCGAGTAGGAGCGGAGAAAGGAGAGAGAGGAGAGCCCGAGAGAGTGGAGAGAGAGAGAAGAGAGGGAGGAGAGAGAGAGAGAGAGAAGAAGAAGATAGAGAGAGAGAGAGAGAGAGAAGAGAGGAAGGAGAAAGACAGACAGACGAGAGAGAGAGAGAGAGAGGAGAGAGACGACGAGAGAGAGGAGAGGAGAGAGAGAGAGAGAGAGAGAGAGAGAGAGAGAGAGAGAGACAGAGGCAAATCAACGAAACATTTATGCATCTCACTACGTAGAAATGTTAGAAAAGATAGTATGGAACAGGGCGCTAGGAACCCAGTTGAGTTTGCTGTCGGCTAACAGCAACTAATTATAAACGCAAAGGTAAACAGGATATGGACGTCGGTTGTCTCTCTTGCGTATTTGGTGGTCTGTTTATGAGCAGGTAATCAAGCTGTAATGATGTTTACGACCTGGCAGCTTGGTTTTGAAATAATTATAATCCACAGTCTTATACATAGATGAAAGGAAAATTCTTGGTATGTGTTAGAGCTGGAACACGCATACATACACGCGCACAGATTAATAGCCTTAATGCATTTACATATGTATTTATGTCCGTCTATCTATTTCTCTATCAATATCTGTACCTCTCTCTCTCTCTCTCTCTTTTTCTCTTTCTATATATATCTCTCTTCTCTCTCTCTCTCTCTCTCTCTCTCTCTCTCTGAATACATTCACACACACACACACACACACACACACACACACACACACACACACACACACACACACACACACACACACACACAACACATAATTATTATAATATATATACATATATATATATATGTATGTATGTACATTAGATATATATACATAGATAGATAGATAGATAGACACACAACACAGCACACACACCCACCAACACACATACACACACCCACGCACCCACTCTATATATATATATTATATTATATATATATATATATATATATATATATATATATATATATATATATATATATATTATTATTATATATATATACTACCTTACATGGTGCACCCACCCACCCACAAAATATATAACACACGCACACAGCCAACCCCCTGACCCCCTCCCGCCCAACCTACCTCTTGGGCCAGCCGGGCTCCCCCTCCATGTCCATCAGCCGCATGTACATGATCGGGGGGAACACGAACGTACACAGAGTGATGCAGGATCCGCCAATCAGGTTAAGGATCAGGCCGAAGTCCGGTACAGCGAGACAAATGAGCATCTGCAGCATCACCATAGAGGATCGAAGTAGCACGCGCTTGAGGCAGAATTCTGTGAAGGGGATCGAGAGTGAGGGGCTGGCGGGAGCTTCGGGTTGTGGCGTTCATGGTTCCTTGACTTATCATCATTAATATTATCATCATAATATCTATTTATCATTATCACTATTACTACTATTATTATCATTATCATGATTTTCATTACTGTCAGTGCCATTGTCCTCCCAATGTCATTAGTTTGTTATTATTCATCATTATCACCATTGTCATTATTGCTAGATATCATGATCCACTTTTCTTTCTGTCGCCATCCTTTTTATCATCATATTAGTGCTATCAGCATCATCATTATTATACTCAAACTTTTATCTCCCCCCCCCTCCCCCCCACCCATCCTCCCCCCCCCCAAAGAAACAAAAATAAAAAAACCAAAGCCTCAGCAGACTATGCCGCCCTTTTCCGCACCCCCTTCTTTTCCCTCATACCGGCCCCCGCTCCCTACCTCACAGTGTTCTTGCCCCCTCCTCCCCTCTCCCCCCTCCACCCTTCCCCACTGCCAATCGTCACATATCCTCCTCCTTCCTCTGCCTACCGAACGCGCGACTTTCTGACTGCCTGGCCAAAACTGCCAGCACCCACTGAATTCACCACCTTCGTTATCCAATATCGAAGACCAGCCTACCCCCCCAAGCCTATATAGAACGCAAATTTACTAACCAATATCCTCTATCTGGCGCTCTATTTCTGTTGACCTGGCTCGCAGCCAGCCATACCCACCCGACCTTCACTTACCTCAAACATCTCACCGCCTCACCTCATTCTTGATTTTCGCCCCACTCCTCACCGCACCCAAAACCGCCCCGCGCCAACCACACTGCACCTCTCCAGTCCATCACTTGACCTTCCTACGCACAAAAACTACCCGTATGACACCCAAATGCCATGCAACAATACAGAACTTAACCCTATTTCGCGAGACAGTACCTACCAGATACGCCATGCCACGCCACAAGGGGGTAACACGCCATCTGGCTCAGCCCAATCACCCATGCCACAGTCACACACACGATCCCACTCCCGTAAAGATAAGAGTGGAAATAAAACATGCCTATAAGCGAATAGACAAGTAAGCATCGAAACCAAACAGAACCAAA